GGCAGGCATGACGTGAACAGGCTTTGGGGAAGTGTCATGTTCCTCCTCCATGACACCCACAGTGAAGGCAGAGCCATTCATTCGCAGAGCAAAGTCTATATATTGTTCAAGTGACCAGTGTGGGGTATTGCGTGGTATTAACTGTGATATGTCCTTAATTAAACCAAAACGAAAAATGTCTTTTAGGAAGCTTTCATTAAAGTCTACCTGGTGACAAAGTCCACAAAAGTCCTCCACATAATCCTCAATGTCCCGGTTTCCTTGGCGAAGGTGAACAAGACGATCTGCTGGGTGGTTAGACTCACCGACAGCGGGTTACAACATCAATACACGACAAGAGACAATGGCAACATGATGGCTACTTATAGCAAAGAGGGTCACATGACAAGAACAAACCAGTGGGAAACAAGACACATGACTAGGACAACCAATCAGAACATGACACATACACAAGGCAGAGATACATGAGGGCAAGGGAAGCATGACACCAACAGGGTGAAACAACTACAAAATAAAAGACATGAAAATATGAACATGAAACAAAACCCCACATTACAATACTATATTATAAATTGTATATAAATAACACTAAAATTATGCCATTTAATTCCAGTCTACGAAAATATCATTTTACTGCAAAATTAAATAATATTATTTAAAACAATCATATTCTTTATATATTTTTCTTCCTCGGAAAACATTGTTAGTGCATTGTCAATATCCTGCCATTTTCATGATGTGTTGTTGTTGAGGAATTCAAAATACCCTTTTATTACAAATTTTCCTGTATGATTTTGTTGACGAGATTAACAATGTTGTACAGTAGAAAACATTGTACGGTATACAGTCAGTCCACTATGACAGCTGCTGTTCTCCCTGCAGTCATAATATGGCAGGTTGATAAACTGAGGTCTTAGGCTGCATTTGTTGTGAGATTCTGACAATGAATCTAGTGTCAGTGATAAATCACACAACTATAACAATATGGCATTTATTGAAAGTAATGACTGCTTATGTTGAAAAAGGACTAACATATCTTATTGGATACAAATAGGCATTTTTTCTATCCTGTTGAGAAATGTCAATGCATAAAATGTTTTTTTTTTTTATGGCTTTCAATGTACAGTAATAGTTATTAAAGCCATATCTGCATGTCTTATGATTTGCTATCCGTATGTATGTGTGCAGGGGGAGATGTTGCTGCATTCTGGGTTTGTTTGTGTTTGTGTACAAAGAACACACATGCCGTACATGGCATGCAGACTTTGTGTTTGGTTGTTTATATGTTTTTGCCTGTTTTAATGTTTTTGTTTTTTTTTACCTTCATGCCTTTTTGCTGCTCCCGTGTGTGACGACCCCTGTACTGTCCTGAACGTCTTCCAGAGGGTACAGAAGGCAGCCAAAATCAAGAAAAAGGCGGTGTGTAAAAAAAAAAAAAAAGGAAAAAAAAAGAGAGAGATAGAAGAAGAACATGCCTTTTTTAACCATCTACTCCATGTCTGTGTTCATCATCTGTGCAGCTTTCATACGTTTTGGTTCATACCATGTGAATTGAAGCTTTAGATCCGGCTGTCTGGGATCTGTATCTTAAATTCTAACTAACTATTAGCAAACCAGCCACTTCTGGGCTGCAACTGAGTCACATAAACCTTTTAAGATATGTAGTCAAAATTTCAAGTTTTGCACAGACTGCACTTTTAACCCCGTATATAACATAGCTATAGTCATCCGTGTGTACTACCATTTCTTATTGCAGTAACACAAAACAAAAGCAAGAATCTGAGCAGAAATGTACTGACAGGTAAATGATTGGCACTCTGAGACAGCCTGACAGCTGGTTAAATGTTGCCACTGTGTCATTTTACTTACCCGTCTGTCTTTGCATCACCCTGCACTCCACCTCAATGCACCGAATGGGTCTCGCTCTTTTTTCTCTTTCACTCGCTCTCCAGTGTCAATCATCTCATTACTTCAAACCTCTGCATGGCTTCTACTTATCACAGGGGGCTGTATACCCAGTGATTATTTGTGTCTTAGCCTGATTACCTCACTGGGTTTCTCAGTTATAGGCTTTGAAGGTTTTTGGAAAATGTTTTGATTTTGCGGCGCACTTAGTCACCATTGCCCAGCAGTAATCAATTATTAATTGGACAGGCTAGCGATAATCAATGCAGTTTCACATTTCCAATCCATATGTTCTTTGCACCTGAGCATACCATATTGTTTCCTATTTGGGCTATTAATGATGCAATTTACAGAGGTTAAGCATAGCCCTCCCATGTGGACAAGCTTATGCTAGTGCATGATTTATAAATAAGCATTTAAAATGCTTTCATTAGGGGTTTGAGAGGTTGTGCCTTTTCTTCAGGTCTTCTCATGAGCCATTGTGATTTATGGCATTGTGACCTCTTGGAGGTCGGGGGTAGTTTTTCATATTTTTGTTCTTGTTTTTTTCTTTTTTGTCAGCAGAGTCCAGAGGGAGACATTCAGACTTTGACGGAGGTAGATCTTTTCATCTCAACTCAAAGGATCAAGGTGCTCAATGCAGACACCCAGGTGAGTTCATGCGGCTGCCTAGTGATACAGGTTTCAAAATAAAATCGGAAAAGATCAACCAAAAAAAAAAAAAAAAAGTAAGAGGAAATAGAAGCACATTAAGCCATTAACTGACAGCTGCACTAATGGTTAAGCATAAGCAGATATGAACAAATAAGCCCCAAATAAGCAAACAAATAATGCCCAAAGTGGTTTAATATCCCTGCTGCTTGTTTTCTTCATTTATATATATCTTCATTTATATATAAAGTCAATAAAAATGTTAATATGTTTTGTTATACTATACATGCTCTCAACTGTTCTTTTATATATATGCAAGTGAACAACGCATTATAGTGCCATCCCAAAGAGGCACAAAATCACTTTCACAGAACTGCCCAACTCAATCCGAACAGAAAGCCATCTTCAAGAAACGGCTAAAAACACATATCTTCCATCTACACTTGACTCTCTAACACTAGCGTTCTATTTCTATTTTATCTACCTGTCTTTTTATTTATTAAAAAAACACTAACAAACTTGACCCTCTAACACTTGCACTCTCTATTCCATTTTATTCTATCTACTTGTTTTCTTTTTATTTATTTATCCTTGCTATGTGTACTGCATTAGGCTAACCGAGACTTGTCATAGCACTTACATATTATTGCTCTTTTGTTGGTTTTGATTGCTTCTATTGTCCTCATTTGTAAAGCGTCTGCTAAGTGACTAAATGTAAATATATACTGTTGTTGTTATTGAGGCAGAATGGCCAAAATCTGAATTCTCATAGAGAATTAGAGTATACATTATAAATTATAAATCATACTTGGAGAAAAGGAGATCATTCATATTTGGATTGGGGAAATATTTATGCAAAGAGAATGCTCAGATATGATATATTACATAACCTTTTGTTACATAACTGACATAAAACACGTAATGTGTGTGTGTAGAGAGAAGAGATGTGCATATGATCAGGCTTGTAGACAGTTGCTAGTGATGGAGAGCTTAATGATGGTTATAGGCTTTGTGCTTAATCTCCAGCTGCACATTTTACACATGCTGTATAGTCAACAGCTCCTCCTTTTCCACACTAGTGTTACTGTAAGCATAAGGTAGGAAGAGCTACATACTGTTTTAATGGTACATTTAGTACCCTGATACTGAGTAACATCGCTGTGTGAGTGTTGCTGCGATTATGTGTATGAGTTCTGAGTGAACAGCAGTGAGTGGGCAGGCTGGCACAGAGATTTCATTATGTGCTGCAATGCAGTGTCAGTCCTCACCCTGCCTGTCACATCTCACGGTGAGTCTGTATTGGCTGTTACAGATTCATTACAGTGCCTTCAAGGTTGTATTGATACTCCTCAGACATTCAAAGTACCCTGTAAGACTGAAACTTTTAGATTTAATTCAGCCCAATCTGCTTAGCACACAGAATCCATTCAAACTTTACTTAATAAAATGTACTATTGAAGTTTCATAATAACTTACAATGATAGAATATTCAGCATTCAAAATGTAACTGATAGTGATGCCATCATTGTAAGATTTGCGTATGAATTGCAATAGTTTTTTTATTGCATATTTTTGCATATTAAATTATGATTCATCTTTTCTTTCTTGTTTCTGTTTAACCATATCACCTTTACATTGACTACTAGGCTGGTAATGGATTACTTGGCTGAATGTAAATAGAGCTAATGACTATGTGATAAGCATGTTGGGAATACAAATGTATTATAAACATACTACTTGAATTTCAAGTATATTTTTAATACATTTAATACTACGTCTTTTTCACCTGGGTGGATTCTGGTGCACAGCCAACTGAAAACAAAACGGATGCAGCATTTCAGTAACACAAAGTAAAAGCCTAAAACATAACCTTACCTCAAACACTGTTCTTTTCACTGGTATTTTCATAATGTAACCTGGGTGTTATTATCGAATAGCAGAGGAAGCTTTTTCAGCACTGCGTATCTGCAAGCCGTATATAAGATATATGCATTGAAAGAAAGGGTTATTTATAAAAATGATCCTAGTACTGATAGATTGAGCTTCATGGGGTCTTTGAAGGAAACATGTCACATATTATGCTCCTATAATTTAAAGAAGAGCTGCAGCAAAATGAAAAATGAAAATCCCACACATGACCTTTGCGTGCATTGAATCGAAATGCTGCATGAATTTCCTGTGCTCTGGATCATTAATTCTTTCAGCTCTCTGATGATTTATGACCTGTTTGTTTGTATATGAAATAGAGTGCATGCCGTACATGCTGTTTCGTGTGCTGCTCATTCAGACTCATGGAATATCGAATGTAGTACAATCAGAACAGCATCTAAGTTATTTTAGTGAGGGCAATTTCAAGGTCATGGCTGTAACTTTACTGTTTAAAGATCTGGGTTAACCCAAGGCTGTAAGCTTGTAGCTTGAAACAGATCTTCCTGAAGGAGATTCATGAATAAGAGCCTTCCAGAAACCCACTGTGCACTCTTAACCCCAGGTTGCATCTGGAGGCTGTCCCTAAGAAAATATAATGTAAGCCCATTTGGATAAGAAAGTCTGTGAAATGATAACCAAGCTGCTCAATGGGATTAAAACACAGCCTTAACTCTAAGTCTGGTGTAATGTGTTGGGAGGTGTTGCCACAGAAGGCTAAGAAGTAATTGTGGTGACTCTCTTGTTTGTTTTATAGGAGACCATGATGGATAACGCTTTGCGTACCATCTCATACATTGCTGACATCGGGAACATTGTGGTTCTGATGGCAAGACGCCGCATGCCCCGCACCGCCTCACAGGACTGCATCGAGACGACCCCTGGAGCCCCCGAGGCCAAGAAACAGTACAAAATGATATGCCACGTATTTGAGTCCGAGGATGTAAGTGTGAATCATTTTGTTTCCTTTTTATAATCCATACGCATACCAAAGTTTGGATAAAAATAAATTGTGCCCACTTAAGAAATTGTGCGGAAATATTACTTTCTTTTATAGAACTAAATTTTAACTTTTTTCAGTTGTTATTTATTTTATCATTTATTTATTTATTTTTCATATGTAAGTTGGAATAGATGGTGAAGGAAAAACAGAGTACATGTGATCAGCATACATGGGAACAAGCTGAATAACTTAAGTGTTAATCTAATATGTAAAATTGTCCAAACATTTAATTTGCATATATACACTACTGCATAAAAGTTTGGTTTCAGTAAAATAATTTTTTTTTAAAGATATCTCTTATGCTCACCAAGGCTGCATTTATTTGATCAAAATACAGTAAAAACAGTACTATTGTGAAATGTTATTACAATTTATAATAACTGTTTTGTAATTATGTAATTTATTCCTGTTATGGTAAAGCTGAATTCTCAGCAGACATTACTCTACTTTCAGTGTCACATGATCCTTCAGAAATCATTCTAATATGCCAATTTGGTGCTCAAGCAGGCTAACATTTCTTATTATTATTAATGTTGAAAACAGTCATGCTGCTTAATATTTTTGTGGATACTGAAATACATTTCTTTCAGGATTCTGTGATGAATAGAACGTTTTTTTCTTTTAGATTACATTACAAATGTCTACTGTTTTGATTAATTTGCTGCATTCTTGCTGAATTAAAGTATTCATTTCTTTAAAAATTACTGACCTCAAACTTTTGAACAGTAGTGTATACACAGAATGCGAGCCATTATTCAGCTGAAGCTCAGGTTCAGATTCACCTGAGGTTGATAGAATAGCCTCAAAAGTAACCCTGGCTGCAGCTTTACATAATCCTGTTCTAATGGACCTACTTTTCTCTCCTCTACAACACTCTCCTCTGCATTGCAGTTGTTCCTCACTCATGCTGTCTAATTACACTCTTTGATGTTTCAGCCAATGAGTATGTGCGTGTCTGTGTGTGCGCCTACAAATGAGTCATTTCTAGAGCCTTTATTTTTCATCTCAGTTATCTGCTTAGCAGTGCCACACAATTTATCATGTCATATAAGTTATCATCCTAAATTTTGATAACTTTGCTTTGTTCCTCCTTTGGGGCCCATATAAATCAGTCGGTTCTCCGGCAGTCTGATCACTGCTGGTGTGTTTTTTCTTTGTGACTGATTTAGATGCTCAACTCCCTGAATATTCCTGAAGCAGCCATGTTTCCAGTGAAAATCAAAGCCAGCACACATGTTGGGATGTTTCATTATTAATGGTATGACCCCTACCTGTGCGCACGTCGCCTGAGGGGTACTGTTAAATCAGAAAACAGCCACATCATTAGCGAAGGGAGTGAACCTTTTTTCCACTGCGCCTCTTTAGCATTCTAGTGCCGACAGTCTGATATAATAGCCTTAATCCAGCAACTTTTCTACTTCCATGGAAGATTATTCACTAAGATTTGAATAAGGTTGCAGTGCTTGTAATAGGCCAGTGTATTCACATTTCTCAGTGAGCACTACTGTAGCACCAGCGTCACAGTGTCTTCAAAGACGACAGCTGACGGTTATGGAAACCGTTCCAAAACGTAAATCTGTTCTAGAGTGAGAAATCAATGGACAATAATACACTACGAGTGAGCAGATTCACAAAATATCAAATCAGTGAAGTGAAAAAATGACACAGTGTTCATCTGCTGCATTGATTTGCGGTATATAAATGTTTTTCAGTTATTGCCAAAAGCACAGAAGCTTTTATGCAGAACAGCTAATGTGCTTCTAGGCCAGAGGAGAGCTGGCCCTCTGATTGAGCCTGGTTTCTCCTGAGGTGTTTTTCAACTGATGGAGTTTTGGTTCCTTGACATTGTTGCCTTGCTCAGTTGGGGCTTAAAATATTATTGATTTGACTGCAATGACACTATTGGTTGAGAACAAAACTTGGACCGAATTGAGCTGGATAATAATACTATTGTCTTCTTTAGAGCTGCTTTATAGCAGAATTGAATTTGTTTCAGAACTGATTAAATTTGCAACATCAAAACTGTTATTGAACTGAATTGAGTCAATATTGAACTGACTTGACCTGAATAGTGACACTATTGTCTTCTTTAAAGTTGCTTAATAGTTGTATTGAGTTTGTTTCATAACTGATGAATTTTGCAACATTGACACTGTTATTGAACGAAATTAAACACTGAACTAAACTGGGCTGAATAATGGCAATTTTGAATTCTTTAGAGCTGCTTTATCGAATTTGTTTCATAACAGATGAACTTTGCAACTCAACACTGCTATTATAATAAACTGAATCAACATTGAACTGACTTGAGCTAATGACACTATTGTCTTCTTTAGAGCTGCTTTATGGATAAAATTGAACTGGTTTCATAACTGATGAATTTTGCAGCATTCACACTGCTATTTTCTGTATTACTTTGAAGCTGTTTTAAAACAATCTATTTTGCATAAAGATAAATGTGACTTGACTCGCTTTTGTCTTTAAAAGGCTCATAATTAAAGATATGTGTAATGATTTAGTTCTGTTTATATATATAGCATGTAACCAATTTATAATTAATGGCAAATGTATACATGAATTGATTTTTGCGGTTGTTTCACCTGGTTTTCTTCTCCAACATGTGCAGGCCCAGCTCATAGCACAGTCCATTGGTCAGGCATTTAGCGTGGCCTACCAGGAATTCCTCAGAGCCAATGGAATCAACCCAGAGGACCTGAGCCAGAAAGAGTACAGCGACATCATCAACACACAGGAGATGTACAATGATGACCTCATCCACTTCTCAAACTCTGACAACTGCAAAGAGGTCAGCAGCCAGACTCTTTCTTCTCTATTAAGAGTTCTCTTTGTGTTAGAACACAGCTGACCCAGCACACTGATGCTTTTCTGCTCAATACAAGGGGGATTACTAGAAAGCAGTGGACAGTGATGACGGACAGCAGTACTTTCGTTTGATGAAAAAAAAACACACATACCATAAAAACCACTGGTAATTTTTGAGCTAGTTTCTAAAGCATCCATTGAACTTAGGTATCCAAAAATGAAAATTGTCATCATTTATTCACTTTCCAAACCTGTAAGAATGCTGAACCCAAAAGAAGATATTTTGAAGAATGCTGGTAACCAAACAGTTGCTGGTCCCCTTTTGACTTCCCATTTTTTTCCTCCATACTATAAAAAATAGGGAACAGTAAATGTTCAATTACTTAAATTCTTCAAAATATCTTTGTTTATGTTAAACAGAAGAAAGAAACTCATACAAGTTGGAAAAAAACATGAAGGCGAGTAAACGATGACAGAATTTTTAACCATCCCTTTAAAATGTTGCTTTTATAATGGCTTTACATAAAGGATTTAACATAGTGTTGTGTTTATAGTCAGTGGAGGCTGGTGCTTTTCAGAAGTGTGAAAGCACAGATGTCACTTAATTAATAGAAAATTGTGTACTCAGATCATTTTAGGTGTCTATATATGATGTTGAAATTAAAGGATTAGTTCACTTCTGAATTAAAATTTCCTCATAATTTCCTCACCCCCATGTCATCCAAGATGTTCATGTCTTTCTTTCTTCAGTCGAAAATAAATGAAGGTTTTTGAGGAAAACATTCCAGGGTTTTTCTCTATATAGTGGACTTCAGTGGGGTTCACTGGGTGGAAGGTCCAAATTGCAGCTTCAAAGTGTTCTACACGATCCCAGACGAGGAAGGGTTTTATCTAGTGAAACGATCTGTCATTTTCAAAAAAAAATTACAATTTATATACTTTTTAACCTCAAACGCTCATCTTGTCTAATTCTGCGTGAACTCCGTTCCGGTGTTGTGTAATATTCGGTTCCCGTGAAAAACTGTTTGTACATCTAAACGGGGCGTATGAACATTCGGCTTTATTACCTTTTCAAAATAATTCATCACACAAGAGCTGAAGAACAGACAACACAATCCTTTCCATTCGCTTGTTTGTAGTTCAAAAGGCCACGCCCACCGCGGAACGAATCTATGAATATTCGTACTAACCCCGCCCATTGGAACAGTTTTTCACGGGAACCGAATATTACACAACACCGGTTCATGACCGTTAGGGTATATCGAAAAACTCCCATCTCATTTTCTCCTCCAACTTCAAAATCGTTCTAAATCGTCCTACATCGCTGTTTTACCGTTTTTTTGTAAAGGGCGTTTGATCTTCTTTGCACGTTCACTTTGTAAACACTGGGTCGGTACTTCTGCAGCGATGTAGGACGATTTTGAAGTTGGAGGAGAAAATGAGATGGGAGTTTTTCGACCTACCCTAACTGTTTCGAATGGGACTGCACAGAGTACGCATGCGCATTGCAGAGCTACACAAGACAAGCGTTTGAGGTTAAAAAGTATATAATTTTTATTCTTTTTTAGAAAATGACCGATCGTTTCGCTAGATAAGACCCTTATTCCTCGTCTGGGATCGTGTAGAACACTTTGAAGCTGCAATTTGGACCTTCCACCCAGTGAACCCCACTGAAGTTTTCCTCAAAAACCTTCATTTCTTTTCGACTGAAGAAAGAAAGACATTAACATCTTGGATGACATGGGGGTGAGGAAATTATGAGGAAATTTTAATTCAGAAGTGAACTAATCCTTTAAACAAAATGCTCCAGTATGCAAAATGGTCAATTAAATGCTCCAAAGAAGATTTAAAATCTCTCTCTGAGCTCAAATGCTGTCAGTCACGTCAATCACAGTTTCAGTTATTGACAGTTTGTTGCAAAGTCCCGCCCATTTAAGAGCTCACCCAATTGTCATATTAAGAAGCCGGTCTTCCAGATGGGACACGGTTACACTGATTTAAATCGCAATGTCCAGTAAATCACCAAATGCTTCTCTAATGCAAATAGTGCTCATGGATTCCCAGTTAAGCACAACATCTGAGCACGACACAAAATGATGTGCACACAGATTCATCAAACTAGATGATGAGCAGCATGATAGTAATGTACGTTGAAGTTTTATTCTCTGAAATATCCAAATGCTTCAAGAAAATATACACTTCCATTTAAAAGTTTGGGATATATATTCTTTCTTTCTGTCTTTTTCCTTTCTTTCTTTCTATCTCCTTAAAATAATCCTTAAAAATGTATCACCAAGTTTTTAATAATAAGAAATGTTTCTTGAGCACCAAGTCAGCATATTAGAATGATTTCTGAAGGACCATGTGACACTGAAGACTGGAGTAATGACTGGTAAAAATTTGCCATCACAGGTATACATTACATTTTTAAATATATGAAAAAAGAAAACTGTTATAATAATGTTTGAACAAATGTCAGTTTTCGCTGTATTTTTGATTCAACAAATGAAGTGGTGAGCATAAGTGACTTAAATATTAAAAAATCTTACTAATCCCAAACTTTTACATGGAAGTGTCTAGATTATTTGAACAATAACTAATGTCACTGCCATATTTTAATCTGAGGCCAAGGGACCAAATTTCCAAGGCTGTTCTCTATAACACATACTGTACACTAAAGGTGAAGATTGTGCTATTTTGAACCCCCATGCTCTCAGTCTCATTTTAAATGGTTTCCTTAATTGCTTTGTTCTTTTATGGCCTTTTATTGGCAATCAACCCCAATCCCTTGCCTATGCCTCTGTCTGACTCTCTCTGTTTCTCTCCTCCCACAGTTGCAGCTGGAGAAGCAGAAGGGGGAGATTCTGGGCATAGTTATTGTGGAGTCTGGCTGGGGCTCCATTCTGCCCACCGTCATCCTGGCCAACATGATGAATGGAGGCCCTGCCGCCCGTTCTGGGAAGCTCAGCATCGGTGACCAGATCATGTCAATCAACAACACCAGCCTGGTGGGGCTTCCTCTCGCCACCTGTCAGGGAATCATCAAGGTGTGCAGAGGGGTTGGGCTGTCACAGTGCGCGGTGGGCCGAATCTATGAATCCATCTGTGTTATTCTGAGTAGCTGGTTATTAAGGGTCTGTGGTTTAGGGCTGCTGAACCACCACAGGGCAATCGATAAAGTGCTTGCAAAGGCAATGCAATCTTCATCTCCTATTGTTACGATCCCCGTGTAATAATACAGTGCAGGTGAGATCGCATCGAGTAATATAATCACATGTATGTTTTGTATATCTCCATCAGGGCCTGAAAAATCAGGTGCAGGTGAAGCTAAACATCGTGAGCTGCCCTCCTGTAACCACAGTTCTCATTAAGAGACCAGACCTCAAATACCAGCTGGGTTTTAGTGTGCAGAATGGCATTGTGAGTATGGAGAAACAGGAAGTCTGAAATAAAGTCTTGACATCTCATTGTTACTATTAAGTCCAACTTTTGTTTTTTTGCTCCTCAGATCTGTAGTCTAATGCGAGGAGGGATTGCAGAGAGAGGAGGCGTGCGGGTTGGTCATCGTATTATTGAGATAAACGGCCAAAGTGTTGTGGCAACGGCACATGAGAAAATCGTCCAGGCTCTCTCTAATTCTGTCGGCGAGGTAAGCCCTATATAATACAGTATATTCTACCATTCGAAAGTTTGATGTTTTTTTTATGTTTATGAAAGAAGTCTATTATGCTCATCAAGGCTGCATTATTTGAAAAAAAAATACAGTACAAATAGTAATATTATAAATTATTATAATTTATATATCTGTTTTCTATTTGAATATAGTTATTATTTTAAAATGTCGTTTATTCCTGTAATGGCAAAGCTGAATTTTTACTAGCCATTACTCCAGTTTTGAGCGTAACATGATCCTTCCGAAATCATTTTAATGTGCCGATTTGGTGTTTAAAAAACATATCTTATTATTATCAATGTTGAAAGCAGTTGTGCTACTTTTGTTGAAACCATGATTTGGGATTCTTTAATGGGTATAAATATAAACAGAACAGTTCTTATTTGAAATCAAATTTATTAGGTCTAATTTGTTGCTTATTAATAGTTAGTAAGGTAGTTGTTAGGTTTAGGTATTGGGTAGGATTAGGGGTGTAGAAAATGGTCACGCAGAATATGTGCTTTAGAAGTACTAATAAACAGCCAGTATGTTAATAATAGGCATGCTAATAAGCAACTAGTTAATCGTTAGAATTGGTCCCTATAGTAAAGTGTTACCGATTATGAAAGTCTTTACTGTCACTTTTGATCAATTTATTGCATCCTTGCTAAATAAAAGTATTAAAAGATCCTACTGACCCCAATCTTTCAAACAGTAGATTATATTAAAAGATATAATAAATAATGTTAGTAGAATAATATATTGGAGATCCTCCAATTCGTCGGTATCGACGTGATGCCTCTGTTCCCTCCTTCAGGGAACGTGGGTTACATACATGTACGTAACAGAGATGTTTAGTGGAATAATACATAGTATATTAATGCTATTAATGCTTTTTAGTAAAAAAATATCTTTCTTTGTTCTGTAACAGATCCACATGAAGACTATGCCAGCTGCCATGTTTAGACTCTTAACTGGTCAGGAGACTCCTATGTATATATGATCTGAGGTGGACTTCAGCTGAGATACACAAATCTGGGCACTGGGAAATGTCTGAATGCAGCAGTCACCTTTCTCCTTTTATCTTCACCAAAAATAACTCCCATCACTCTTGCTGTCTGCTAACGTTACTTAAGCGATATGGTGTGTCATTACTGCATAGTGTGGATTCTTTTTGATTTGCCACGTCTGCTCTTGGGTGTGTGCATAGTCAGATGAAAATGGAGTCGATGCATCTCAAGTCCTTTCTACGTAATGAAAGGGGGGCTTTGTACACTTGATTTTGATACCACTTTGTTTAATTTATTTACAATTACATACATGTGGACATTGTTGGAGAGATGCAAGTTTGTTTTGTAAATATGTAATCGTCATATCAATATCAGAAAGGAATGGAAAAGCCAGAGTGAGAAGTCCAGACAGAAGCCCAAAACATCAAGCAACCATTCCAGAATATTTGTTTCTGTTATTATGACATTTTTTTTTATAAACGTAATATATTGGATAATATACTTGATCCAGTTATCATTGAATTTTACATTTATTCAAATCAAATGCACACTGAATCAGTATATGTCCCTTACATATAAATAACTGGACTTACTGCAGTAAATGTGGCAAATAATTATGTGGCATGACTCTTTTTTTTTTTTCTTTTTTTAAATATGCTCAATAAGTACATACATATAATACATACTCCAGACACATCGTACAGTGAACTTTGCAAGACTGACTAGTATCAGCAGGGACTTTATCAACAAAGGAGAATCTTTTTACATCGCCAGCCTTCATTAATGGATAAATATCATCTAGTGGGCATTAAAGACTGAGCAAATTTTGAGAGTAGTTTTTACATACAAGCAAGCGAATCTTTTGTAAAATGCTATATGTAAACAATTTCTGGACTTCTCCCATGCTGTAATAATCAAAACATTCTCTTGCCATACTGTAAATGAAGTTCGTTTCAAACACAAAAGTTTATTTTTTACGTGTGCTTTTTTGTGTATGCCCAGCTGCAACTCATTCGAGTCAGTGGTGAATGTAATAGTGTTGTTAATAGTGCGTCCACTTCCTTAAGCAGTATTAGAATGTCTGTACATAAACGTTTACCTTGTTTAGTACTTGTGTCCATGTAGGAATCACTGTTAGTCCCATTGTATCTTTGTGAGGCTTTGGCCTTGGGAAAATAAGACACTGTGACCAAAAGCCTTACCGCCGCGTAAGAAAGCTTTTGAAAATTGTAATAAAAAAAGAGACATGAAACAGCTAATAATACATGAACATGAATACCTGTCTGCATGCATCTTAAAATGACACAATGGCAAAATAACAATAAAGTGTAATATAAGCCCTTCATGTTGTTTTACCTTTGATTCCCTGGCGATTTATTTGAGAACTAAAGAATTGCTTGAAGCCTGAGTGGGTCATACAACCTGGAAGCTTGAGTCAAAATCCATGCCAACCGCTTCTAACAGTGGCCAGCTTCCAAAACTTTAAAATAGCTCCCTTGCTGCATATTATGGACCTAATGAGCACAGATTTGAGTCTCGCAGTTGGAAATCAGTTCAGCCAGCTCACATTTCTCAGACATTGACATAGTCATGGAAAGAATAAGAAAAAAAACCACACCCAATAATGAAACTCCTTTATCTGATCTTAGGAGAGATTACAGGGACATTGCCAAGCTTTATAGCAAGACAGAGGCTATTCATTATGAGTGTGAGAGCGACAATCATTCTCCAATTTTGAAGATCACTGCTCCCCCTAGAGTTTATTCAAATACACTACAATCTTTTTCATAAACATTGAAGGATCAAATAAGGAACACAAAACAAAAACACAATAAGCATAATTAAAACATAATCAAAGCGTTATATACTGTGCTTAAATTTACTTCAAGTATGAGATATCATTTGTAAAGATTAGCTGTTTATAAACAAGATTAACATTAGTAAACTCTAATCATGACCAGCTATTATTAGAGGATAATATTAAAAACTCAAAGGTGTTTCATTTTAATACTGTTAATAATTCTATAAGACAAAAGGTTTAATTTGGACTATATTTTAATCATGTAAAATTCTAAGATGCTAAATTTCATCCATTGTAAACAGAATTGCTGTATTTCTGAGACACATCTCATGGGTTCTGGTCATTCTTGTCACATTTTAATATGACCTTAACCCCAAGCCTTTGGCGTGACATCTCAAAGGCCTCCACAGCCTGCTCCAGCGGGAAACGGTGGGTGACCAGGGGCTTGACGTTCACCTTCTTAGACGCCAACATAGAAATGGCCACAGGCCAGCTGGAGTAACCATGAGGGATCATGGGCAAAAGTGTAAATAGTATTATGCATACATTTTTTTTTTCATCTTTTGATCTACTCAAATCAGTTGTATGTGAATTCCCAGACTTACGTGTTACAGTAGCGGAATACACCTCTGATGTCAACTTCTCTGACAGCTGCATTGAGAAGAGGTACGGTGGTCATCTCGGCACCAAACCCAACCGGCACCACCACTCCTCCAGAACGAGCAGCCTAGACAAAAACACCATCATCAGCACAAAAACAAGACCTGAGAATACATCCCAGTACTCTGCACAAACAAATATAAAGGTAAAAACAGAATAAAGTATATAATCTGTATTACACAGAAAGGTATAATTACGTTTTACAGTATAATGAATAAAATTTAATGTAATTAAACTAACATAGATGGCTGTTTGAATGCTGCTCTGCACTCCAGTGCATTCTATGCTGATTTGAGGCATGCAACCAAGCATTCCCTCCACTTTTTTGGCCATCTCCTTTGGTTCATCCTCTTTCTTCACATGCAGCAGGAAGTCTGCCCCCATCTCTTTAGCCTTGGCAAGCCGATCAGAGTATAGATCTAAAATAATTAGATACATTATAAGCAGTGTTGGGGGTAGTACAGACGTAAATTTACTTTCCCTTCAGCCTGAGGCTTATTCATTTCACTTTTGGTGTGAAAAGGCTTTTATATTTGCCAAAAATAGAACTTTTTTATATTAAAAACAAACAAGCAAGCCCTGTCCAGGTTTAAAAAGTAGCGCAAAAGTAAAGTAACGCATTACTTTCCATAAAAAGTAACTAAGTAACGTAATTAGTTACTTATTTATGGAGTAACGCAATATTGTAACACATTACTTTTAAAAGTAACTTTCCCCAACACTGATTATAAGTCCAATTTATTTATACATATACTGTATAATTCCCTTTCACATAACACTGGATGCATGACTTACCGCTTATTATTACTTGTGAAGCACCCATGGCTTTGGTCGCCAACAAAGACACCAGCCCAATTGGTCCTATGTTGATCAAAACAAACACATATATAGTCTATTTTTTGCTATAACCAGTCACACTTCCCAAAAGTCATGTCACAGAGATGACATTCTGAAAATAATGCATACTATCAGTGATTTAAAATTAACAAGCACCAACTGTTTTACCATCCTGACACACTAAGTAGCCAATCAGTGTAATGATGTCTGACTTCATGGCCATTGTGGCCATGAAGTCAGAAATCATTATACTGATTGGCTAGTTAATGTGTAACAGTTGCACAAACGTGTAATCATTATAGAAGACTGACCTGCACCGCAGACAAACACTGAGCTTCCAAGAGTGACTCCTGCCCTCCTGCAAGCATGAATGCCCACTGACAAGGGTTCGATCAGGGCTCCCTCCTCATAGGTTAAGTTATCAGGAAGCCTGCACACACACAGTCACATATATGATTAAAATGCACAGAATTAAAGTCCCATGGACTCCCTCATTATATCGTTTATCCAGTAATAATAGTGATCTGACTTGTAGCAGAAGTTTGCATTGTGTTTGTAGTATCTGCAGAGGGTTCCATCGTCTGGAGGGCAGGAACAGAAGAAAACGCTGGGAGACAGATTGTAGTGTCCAGATTTAAAGAACTCATCTACTTCACGAGGAACTCCAGGCTCAACGGCAACTCTGTCCCCTGTTGAACACAAAAAAATGAAAGAAAAACTCACTTAATCTGAGTTTAACTGACATACTATTTAAAACTAAGCCAAATCCAGAGAGCACTAACCTGCTTTGAGGTGCGTCACAGCAGAGCCCACTTTCACCACACGACCAGAGGCTTCATGTCCCAAAACCATGGGCTGTTTCAGCACAAAGTCCCCAATGCGGCCGTTCTGCCACATGTGCACATCTGATCCACAGATGCCCACAGAATGCATCTGAAGTAACACCTCTTCAATAAAGATCCAGCAAATTAATAAATTAACATTAATGTTTACATGCTCATCATTACACTGTATTCGAAAATATATAGTGACTATATACCATTTGGTCCTGGTTCCGGAATGGGACGCTGTTCCTATTAAAATGAAAGCAAATCTGCAATTAGCAACTGCAATCAGAGTTCAAATTTTCAGCTAAAATTCATTAAAAATCATACCAGTCTGAGATCTCCTTTAGAGTGCACGACCACAGAGAGGTTGTCTTTGTCCATTTGATTCACTCATACACGTACAGAAGTAACAGGACAACTGTTCTGTGTCGTCCGTTCACGTTATTTGCTTCCGTACGGATCACTGACGGTAAATTCTGCTATCGCATATCTTGCTGATTTCTCATCAGGTCATTCAAGTCGCTCAAAACTGCGCGCTGGACAAAACGCAGTTTGTACAAAAATATGACAAATGCTGTGCATTTCAGCAGTGCCCTTAATCTAATGATAATAAAAATAAAACAAAACAAACTTCAGTGATGCGTAAATGAAAGTTATTCATTGATTTAGATGACCAGTTTTGCATGTAACATTTACATTATTTTATGTAAACGGATATAATGGACTACTTGCACAACTGCTTCCGAGTTCTACTTATTATGGTTCAATTTACATAGTTAGCAAATACAGGAAAAATATACATAATGAAAATGATTAAAAATATAAGCAAAACTTATATCGTCCTTAAAGCAACCACTCAGACAAACTCAAGTATCCTTGCATCATAAATCATTGGTAAAGCTTCATTGTTTGTAAACAAGTTTAAGGTAAGTAAATTGTAAAAAATGACCAGCTATTAGTATAGCATTATATTAAAAACTGCACTCTTTACAATGTTACATGAAATTCCATTTTAATACTCTTCATGATTATATAATAACAAACGGTTGGTTTATAAACACTTTACTAATATAAACTGCTACATATTCATTAAATTATAATGCAACTGGAATTATAAATAATTAGATCCACTGTGAAGAAGTATCACTTAATTCCTATGACTGTTGTACCTGAGGTTACTCGCAAAATTAACTGGATCAAACAAATTTATTCAAGCCACTGTAGCTAGGCAATAATAATCAGGTGTGGGTCTAAGAGTTGATCTCATGGGTTTTGATCATTTTTGTCACATTTTAACATGACTTTAACCCCTAGTCCCTGGCGGGTGGTTTCAAAGGCCTCCACAGCCTGCTCCAGTGAGAAACGGTGGGTGACCAGGGGCTTGACGTTCACCTTCTTAGACGCCAACATAGAAATGGCCACCGGCCAGCTGGAAAAACAATGAGGGAACATGGGTAAAAGTGTGCAAAGGAGTAAAATCTTATTTTGAAATGTGCATACTACAATAAATCTTTTTTTATCTACATTGTACTAAAACTCCTGAAGCAGCCATATGTAAATCCCAAGCCCAAGTGATCCTACTTACGTGTTACAGTAGCGGAATACACCTCTGATGTCAACTTCTCTGACAGCTGCATTGAGAAGAGGTACGGTGGTCATCTCAGCACCAAGCCCAACCAGCACCACCACTCCTCCAGAACGAGCAGCCTAGACAAAAACACCATCATCAGCACAAAAACAAGGCTAGCAGTATGATTTTATTTTTGTCTTAAACTTACATAGATGGCTGTTTGAATGCTGCTCTGCACTCCAGTGCATTCTATGCTGATTTGAGGCATGCAACCAAGCATTCCCTCCACTTTTTTGGCCATCTCCTTTGGTTCGTCTTCTTTCTTCACATGCAGCAAGAAGTCTGCCCCCATCTCTTTAGCCTTGGCAAGCCGATCAGAAGACAAATCTACAAATACAGATAAAAGGGATAGACTTTATAAGTGCAATTTATACATATATAATTCTCTTTTATACATATATACATTACCGCTTATTATTACTTGTGAAGCACCCATGGCTTTGGCCGCCAACAAAGACACCAGCCCAATTGGTCCTATGTTGATCAAAAGAAACACATATATAGTCTATTTTTTTGCTATAACCAGTCACACTTCCCAAAAGCCATGTTATACAGATGTGATATTAGCTGACTAAGCAACAACTGTGTTGCAGTCCTGACACACTATAGAAAAGTGGCAGTGGCCAAGAAGTCAGAGGTAATTACACTGATTGGCTAGTTAATGTGTAACAGCTGCATAAACATCAATCATTAGAAAAGACTGACCTGCACCGCAGACAAACACTGAGCTTCCAAGAGTCACCCCTGCCCTCTTGCAAGCATGAATGCCCACTGACAAGGGTTCGATCAGGGCTCCCTCCTCATAGGTCACATTATCGGGAAGCCTGCACACACACACAGACATATACATGATTATTATGCAAAAAAATGAAAGTGCTATGGACTCCCTCATTATATAAACCATCCAGTAATAGTGATCTGACTTGTAGCAGAAGTTTGCATTGTGTTTGTAGTATCTGCAGAGGTTTCCATCGTCTGGAGGAGTGGCACAGAAGAATATGCTGGGAGACAGATTGTAGTGTCCAGATTTAAAGAACTCATCTACTTCACGAGGAACTCCAGGCTCAACGGCAACTCTGTCCCCTGTTGAATACAAAAAAATGAAAGAAAAACTCACTTAATCTGAGTTTAACTGACATAATATTTAAAACTAAGCCAAATCCAGAGAGCACTAACCTGCTCTGAGGTGCGTCACAGCAGAGCCCACTTTCACCACACGACCAGAGGCTTCATGTCCCAAAACCATGGGCTGTTTCAGCACAAAGTCCCCAATGCGGCCGTTCTGCCAATAGTGCACGTCTGATCCACAGATGCCCACAGAATGCATCTGAAGTAACACCTCTTCGAAAAAGAATGAATAAATATGAATATTAAACTGTTCATCATCATTGCAATGCATTTGGAAATATTACTAAGAAACAAATCTATACCATTTGGTGCTGGTTCCGGAACGGGACGCTGCTCCTGTTAAAATACAGTCTATGGTTAAAATGCAGAAAAATCTGCAATTATAAATCGCAAGTGCAATCAGAGTTCAAGGGTTGCAAAATCTTCACCCAAAATGCATAAAATGTCATACCAATCTGAGATCTCCTTTAGAGTGCAGGACCACGGTGAGGTTGTCTTTATCCATTTTATTCACTTATACACGTACAGCCCAAACTCCAGAAGACCTATGTACTCCTGTAGGGATCATGCCCGCTTTCGCTCACATATGCACAGATGTCCCTCACGGCCATCCCACTTCTTCCTGTTCTCTGGGAAGTTATTCAAGAACATCAAAACTGCGCTCTGTGCATGCAGAGCGCAGCGCAGTCTGTACAAAAACATACAGACAACTGCGATCAAAGAAAAAAAAACTTTCTGCATTTTAACATTGTCCCTAAAGAATATGTCCCTCACGGCCATCCCACTTCTTCCTGTTCTCTGGGAAGTTATTCAAGAACATCAAAACTGCGCTCTGTGCATGCAGAGCGCAGCGCAGTCTGTACAAAAAAATACAGACAACTGCGATCAAATAAAAAAAACTTTCTGCATTTTAACATTGTCCCTAAAGAATAAACATAAAATAACTATAAAAAGCATTCCCTTTAAGCGCTACATCGTCCAACGACTCGAGTTAATTTAAAGACTGATGAATATCACCATCCTGTGTACAAGAACCGTTCCAGAAATGCCGGAAGTTGCATGTAACCATGGCGATGATGACGAGTCTAGCTTCTCTATTCAATACCGCCTGTATTTCTGATATATCGTGTTTTTATTAAATGAAATAAAATGAACGGGGATGATATGGTACTGGAATGTCTTAGCAAACAACAGGAAAGTCTGAACATGCGCCATAGGGGTCTAGTTGTTTTGCCACCTGGTGTTTCCATTGAAAAAACTCTTTCTGAACAACGATCAGCTCATTTTACCACCAGACGAGGTACGTCATATCCTCAAACGTACTACGTGTTTCAAAGTAGATACTCAAAAAAACACTGAATGAATTTGTTGCACATATCACATGTAATAATGTCTAACAGATTGTTTACTGTAAGCAGAAATCATGTCTAAAACAGTGTTTGCATTCCCTGTAAGATTCTGCATCTGGAAAAACTAGAACTGATACTGGATAGAAACCAGCTGACCATGCTTCCTGGCAACATTGGATCACTGAAACACCTGACTTACCAACCCATTATCTGTTCTCCCAGAAGCCATAGGTGACCTGAGAGAACTGAGAGAGCTCTGGGCTGTAGGATGCGGTCTTGTCTCTATACCATCATCTATTGGTAAACTTAGGAGGTTAGAGAAACTTGGGCTTCATAATAACAAAATTACACACCTGCCATCACAATTTGGGGGTCTCAGCAGTCACTGGTCTTCATGAACCTGGACAAGATCTGTTTTACACACATCCCTACAGCACTGACAGGTTAGAAATTTTCCATTTAATTCAATTACTATTTATGGCATGAATGTGTGTGAAAACAGTTTTAAGAGGACGACTGGAGACAGCTTGCTGTAAGAAGCCGCTGTACCTTTGATCTGTCACTTTGCTCTCATTACACATATCGTTAATGTTTATAGGACTAATAGTTACTCTTTCACTGTCATTATTATTCTAATAGTTATTAGGCATAAATCCCTGTTTGTTCCCATTGGTCCTCATGTGGAATTTGTTTGTGTTCTGTTCATTTTGTTGTCATAACTATTTCCAGACATGGCAAATCTGCAGACCCTGTCTGTTAAATTTAACAGCATCAGATCACTGGAAGATTACTTAATCCCTGGTTTCAGCAGATTTATAAAACTTGACCTCAGAGAAAATCTTTTAATGGACAGACCACCACACTGGAAGGTAATTAACCATTAACAGAAAATAAACAGGGACACAGTTTTGTTTTGAAGTATGTCACTTTAATGATATTACTACTGTTATTCTCTGTAACCTGTCATATCACCTTTGTTCACATACAGGGATTGGATTTTATATTGCTGGGAAATGTCTGATACGCTGAGGAAGATTCATATGAGATGAGTAGGAACTGAAAATAAGCATCCATTTGCATTAAATATGTTTGTCAAAGAAACGTATAAACAAAGACAATCCACTTCTTATGTGAAGCATATTATATTACATTTCTTTGTGACAATGACGAGGAGTCACGTCATTAGATCTTGAAACATTATGGCCATGGAGGGAGGGAAGAAAATCATAAAGTTCCCCTGAATACTTCTTCATTTGGTCAATATGAACATATCCTGCAAATGAGATGGTAATAAACAGTTTGAGGACATGTGAATTATGGGTCAAAGTACTATGGTGTCAGTTTTGTTTCTTAATTAAATACCTGAGATCATGTTGTTTACAGGATATTTCCACATCTCACTACAAGAACACACTTTGTTCGGCGATGCAACAGTCTCGTAATCGTCCTGGCTAATAGATAACATGAACATGAAGATAACATGAGGTTAAACCATGCTTTTATGACGATAAAGTGCTGTGGTAATGAAAATAATATTTAGACCTCATTTGTACAGTAAACTGAACAATATTAAAGAATTATGCGTTTAAAAATGAAAATTCACTACAATAAATGTATGCATTCTGCCAATAACTATAAAGAATTAAAGAACTAAAAAAAGAGTTAATGCATACCTGTTCTTCTCTCTCACTGCTTGATGTTCAGTCTCATCAGACAGACTGTCTTCATATATCTGATCTTCACACATCACCTTCAATAGATTGAGAAGCTAACAAATGACAGAGGAATAACTGGACACTGGACTAACAGACGGCATGTTCTCATACCTGTTCATCGGTTTCCCAAATGAACCTTCCGATTAGCACTCTCATTTCTAAAGAGAAGAATTGGAACAGTAATTAGGCATTCACTATTTTTCAATGTAAAAACTACTCATTCTTTACATTGGAACATGTCACTAAAAATAATGGCATGTTCATGGTTTACCATTCTGGACAGAGTCGGGGGGCAGAACATAGTGGCCAATAGGCACAGATGTTACACTCTGGCGGTGTTTACATGCTGACAGGAAGTTGCTGTGGAAAACCGTTGCCCTGTTTTTTACATAATCCTCACTTTCATATATCCTAAAACATAAAAAGAAATTAGGTACACCTTTGTGGCAAAAGTTTTCAGGCATTTCAATGGTTTTGGGTACAGAAGATTTAGATTAAGTACATTCTATAGGCTGGTTTCTTTAGTATTCAGTAGTATGACCAAATCACCCTCAAACAAGAATTGTACTGTAAACTGAACATACCTTTTAGTGTCTTCAGAAGAGGCATCAGCACTGAAGAGGTAATCTGCCGTTTTCCAGGAAGAACGCGCTCCCCCTTCAGAAACTATACATATAAACTATATAAGCTATATAATATATAAACAGATATAAGATGACATATTCCCAAATGTTCATTAACAGTGTCTTTATCACTTTACGTGAGTTGTATTAGTAGCATATATAGCCAAATACTTTTCATCTCACCCCAGAAGTTGGTTAATGGTACCCCCTTTCTAACACTGTCCGAGAACCATGCCGTTTTGCCTTTAAACATGCTTATGCTGAGGTGTTTGTCACTTCAGTTTGCACATAAACAATTATCCTTCTTCAGCAAAGGTGAGGACACACCAAACGTTGACTGTGTTAGCTACTTATTTTTGAGCTATGTTCATATACCAGTTCTCACTGCTATTCAAGACATAAATCATTAAAGAATTCCGGAAACAAACACGTGAATAGTAACGGAGAAAAGTTAGGAAAATTAACACGGAAAAATGATAATGTTTAGACGCTATAACGGACAAGCGTATGTAGCTCACACATCGCCTCAGGCCTGAACGAGCAATGTCCGATTCTTGTAACGGAGAAAAGTTAGGAAAATTAACACGGAAAAATGATAATGCTTAGACGCTATAACGGACAAGCGTATGTAGCTCACATATCGCCTCAGGCCTGAACGAGCAATGTCCGATTCTTAAATGAATCGTTATTTTGAGTCGAATCTTTTCACTGAATCTGTTAAACCTACTCACAAACCGGTCTGAACGATTCGTTTCGAATCAGAATCTGTTGAGTCAACAACTCGCGAACCGAGAAACTAACTTACTCCATCCGAGTGAGCAGATTGTTGGAGCGAAGTGAAGCTGGGATTTGTCTAATAGGTAAATGTCTTTATTAATGTAATCGTAAAAATGTAATAGCTGTATGTACCTGAAAACATTTTAGAGCAGAATATCTGTCAGGGCCCACGTGATGACGTAGTGACGTTATGACGTTGGAATCACTGAATAATTTTTAATCGGTTATTTGAAAGGATTTGTGCAGAAGTGAGTGGGACTTTCCAGCATCATTATTTACACACGGTATGATTGGCTGTTAATTCACGTAATATTGAAGTACTTCTAATATTACAGTTAATAGCATATTGCAACTGCTTGTTTTCTTTAAAAAAAACAAACTAACACTAGCTTCTCTATTCTTTTTCTATTCTATCTGTTTTCTTTTTATTTATAATATTATAAAAAAAACCTTGCTAAGTATACTGCCTTAGGCTAACTGAGACTTGTTATAGCACTTGCGTATCTTGCTCTTTTGTTGATTTTGATTGCTTCCATTGTCCTCATTTGTAAGTGGCTTTGGATAAAAGCGTCTGCTAAATGTAAATGTAATGCAACAATTACATATTGTTGTTGTTGCTAACATAAATTATTCCTAGGAGTTTTGAGAGGTCATACTGAAATCCGAATATAGACAAAAATGATCTTCATAATTTTTTGCTTTTGTTTGTCACAAATGTCCCATAAAATTATCGTTGTTTTGTCATGATTGAAGCTTATGGCTGCTCAATCGCAGGAAGCCCCGCCTTCTGAATGAAAGAGCCAATTGCTAATCGGTAAAGTCAGCGTGTCACCGCAGCTGCCGTTAGAAGTCCCGGTTGCTATAGAAACAGTCAGCGCACTGAGACTCTGAAAAATAAGCTTTTTATAACGCTATTTGAGCAAAAGTAACAACATGTATGACACAGTTGTCAGATTTCTTTGGTGATTTCAAATATGAAATTTAATCGTAAGCTTAGTGAACAGTTTTGGAGAATTTGATGTTTCCCCATTCAAAGAGATAGGAGTTGCGCTTGCATGCTTGAGAGGCGTTTCAAAGATGGCCGCCGAGTGACATGACTTGCCTTAAAAGGACTTTGCTCTAGACTCTAGAGTCTAGTACACTGAGTAGAACGGAATAGAATGAAGTAGAATGTAGTGTAATACATGCTCCTGCCACTAGATGGTGCCAGAACGGCGCAATTTAAGAGAGAGGAGTCCGTAGTCAGACCGCTGATGGAAGGAATAGCAAGAATATGTTTCTGCCCTCTAATCAACCGGAGCTGATTCAGCCTAATGGGTACAACTTGATGTTGCGTTTGCTATTCATCGTGTTTGGCTGTGCAGTTTGGTACTTAATTTAGTACCAAGATTTAGGTAAGCTGAGGTTCTTTGTGCTTATTTCCCACGTGTCTGCTATTTCGTTTTAAACTGGCTGACAGTTTATGTTGGCACACGTGATTTTACTAAAATTAAACACATTTATTCTGTTCACTAAACAGATTGTTTAATCATATCTGTCATATCTTGACGGCCAGTTTTTTCATACTGTCACTTTATGACATGGCCAAAGTATACAGAGCCAAAGTGGCCTCTATATCTCCATTTGTATCCACAGCTCAGAGAGAAAGATGGTACCTGACCTTGTGAAGACTATTTGTAAAAATGTGTTGATGTTGCACTATAAATCAAAAGCAGTACAAAAATGAAACTTCACCGCAAGACTGCATTAATCACCATCACATTCATTGAAAACAAATGCATGCTCTTCTTTAGAAAGTGGTTTTATGGTGATGTTTTGGGGAACACAACATTAGGATTAGTGGTGCTAATCTTGCTTTTGTTGAAGAGATTGTGGAAGTGTCTGTCATTTTATGCTTATATCAACATGAAGTTTGCGCACAGATCAGTAATTTATATGGAGTTGGCTACTGTTGGCACACACTAAAGCTAAACTGCTTCCTGTTTTAAGTAGACAGTACTGTCATGTAGTCTTGTGTTTTATGTTTCCAGAAGATCATTAGAAAAAGACAACAGTAGTTGGATAATGTGATATCTAATTGTGGATTCCTGCTGAGATGAAATTCTTCTGTCACAGGTTACAATTGGTTCACCACAAATAAAATCGTTTTAAATGCACATCAATGCGTTTCGGCACCCTCGTGACTGACACAAGAGAGAAGAAATGGTTGAATAAAGTCGTTATTTTAGTTTTCTTCAGGATTCTTTCAAAGTTTAAAAGAACAACATTTATTTGAAATGTATATATTTTGTAACAACTCTATGTTGAAGTCTCTATTGTCACTGTTGGTCAATTTAATACATTCTTGCTGAATAGAACTATTAATTTTTTCCTATATTACTTACCCCAAACTTATGTATGCAGTATTTTATCTAAGGATCAAATTATATATAATATTAATAGTATTTAATCCTGATATAGATTACTATACAATAATACTAAGATGCTATCTATATCTGTCAAACTATAAAAATCTGTGATTTCATTGTCTAAATAAGCAATGTAAAAGGCTTAAAATCAGTGAGCAGCTGAAGATGCCATAAAATGTAAAACTGATTTGCCTCACTACAGTGACAACAATTACAAATACTCTGCATATTCTGTAAATGTGTTAGATTAAATCTGGCAAAGGACAAACTATCCCAATTATATCTGCATTTTATGGTTCGGTGCTCATGTTTTTTGTGATAATATTTCCACAATCTGCGTTATTTTAAGAGACAGGCCATCAGCATCATCGTCTTATGCTTTTTTTCTGCCAGAGAGAGCAGACAGTATAATTTTTCTTCATACTTAGCATGTACTTAGAGATATTTTCTATTATAATGACATAACATTATAGTTTAATGTAGCAGCTTTAAACTTAATAAGGCATAATCTAGAAAGCCATTACTTAGATTTGCAAGTCTATTC